GCACGGGGTCATTGGGGTCCAGGAGCCGATCCAGTAGTGGCCCGGTCTGCTCCCAGGCGCCTCTTCCGGATTTTAGGTTTAGGGTTTAGGGTTTAGGGTTTAGGGCTAGGGTTTAGGGCTAGGGTTTAGGGTTTAGGGATGTGTTTTGTCGTGGCTGTGGTTCTTCCTGACTGATTGTTGTCAAAAATGGTCCAGGGCTTTTGGGGGTTTTGGGGCTTAAAGGTTTAAGGTTTAGGGTTTTAGGGTTAAGGAGTTGCGACTCGAGGTGGAGAACTCTGAACCTGAAGCCGAAAAATCCTGACCCCAACTCCTAAACCCCATCAGCCTGGCAAGCCCTTCATCCTCATACAAGCCGCACCCTAAAACCGTAAACCCTAAACCCTAAACTACCCTAAGCCCTACAACCCAAAACGCAAAACCCTAAACCCTAAACTTAAACTACCCTAAACCCTAAACCCTAAACCCTAAACCCTAAACCCCAAACCCTACAAACCCCACCGAGCCTGAGGCGGGAGCGCGGCCCTGGACGGCAAGACCCGCCAGGGCCACAGGGGTGCCGAGGTCCACTTGCAGAAACTCACCTCGTTAGGGTTTAGGGTTTAGGGTTTAGGGCTTAGGGTTTAGGGTTTAGGGTTTAGGGTTTAGGGTTTAGGGTTTAGGGCTTCGGGTTTAGGGTTTAGGGTTTAGGGTTTACTGTTTGGGGTTTAGGGTTTAGGGTTTTAGGGGTTTAGGGGTTTAGGGGTTTAGGGGATTAGGGGTTTAGGGGTTTAGGGGTTGAGGGGTTTAGGGGTTTAGGGGATTAGGGGTTTAGGGGTTTAGGGGATTAGGGGTTGAGGGGTTGAGGGTTTTAGGGGGGTTTAGGGGTGTAGGGGATTAGGGTTTCGGGGTTTGGGTTGAGGGGTTTAGGGGGGGTTAGGGGTTGAGGGGTTTAGGGGTTGAGGGGTTGAGGGGTTTAGGGGATTAGGGGTTTAGGGGTTGAGGGGTTTAGGGGATTAGGGGTTTCGGGGTTTAGGGGTTTTGAGGGTTTAGGGGTTGAGGGTTTAGGGGTTTAGGGGTTGAGGGGTTTAGGGGTTGAGGGGTTGAGGGGTTGAGGGGTTCAGGGGATTAGGGGTTTAGGGGTTTAGGGGTTTAGGGGTTTAGGGGTTTAGGGTTTAAGGTTTAGGGTTTAGTCCAGGAATTGGTGCCTTTTCTCTGGAGAAAAGGAGAAGGTGGGGTAGGGTTGTAGGGGATTTTGGAGGGGGCGTTGTTAGGGCGGAGGGTTTCAGTCTTGGGTGCCCAAGCAGCTGACCTCTGAAATGCCCGAGGCGAGTCCAAGCATACCCTACAACTGCACATCCCAAACACGAAACAGAGTCTATACACCCTACACCCACACCCTAGACACATGATATACCCTAAACTCGGGAGAAACCTGATCCGCTCCCCTGAACCCTAAACCCGAAACCCTAAACCCTAAACCCTGAACCCTAAACCCTAAACCCACCCGTCATCCCCTGCAGCCGCGCGCCTTTCTGGTCGGAGTTGGGCGTCCAGCCTCCAAAGGCGCAGCTGGCCTCCAAGAGAGTCTCCCTAAACCCTAAACCCTAAACCCTAAACCCTAAACCCTAAACCCTAAACCCTAAACCCTAAACCCTAAACCCTAAACCCTAAACCCCAACGAGGTGAGTTAGGGTTTCGGGATGGGGTGTAGGGCTTATAGAGATACAAGGCCACCCTAGAATTCAAAAAGCCCTCAGCTCTTGGCTTCAAACCCCCAGTCCGTGATATGTAGAACCCCCTTAAGTCTTGAACTCCGGAAAACCCTAAACCCTAAACCCTTAAGCCCTTAACCCTAAACCCTAAACCCTAAACCCTAAGCCCCCTTCAGAAGGGCCGGAGTCCAGCCTTCTGCACGCCACCCAGGAGCCGCGCGCATCCCAGGGCCTCGTGGTTGGAGCTGACCTGCAACATCCCTTTTTTAGGGTTTAGGGTTTATAGGGTTTAGGGTTTAGGGTTTAGGGTTTAGGGTTTGGGGTTTAGGGTTTGGGGTTTAGGGTTTGGGGTTTAGGGTTTGGGGTTTAGGTTTGAGGGTTCAGGGTTTGGGGTTTAGGGTTTGGGGTTTAGGGTTTTGGGTTTAGGGTTTGGGGTTTAGGGTTTGGGGCTTAGGATTTTCGGGTTTAGGGTTGTAGGGTTTAGGGTTTTAGGGCTTAGGGCTTTCGGGTTTAGGTTTGGGGTTTGGGTTTTGGGGTTCAGGGCTTAAAGTTTGGGGGTTAGGGTGTTCAGGGTTTGGGGTTTTCTGGGATCTGGGCTGCCAAGTGCCTTGAACCATAAACCGGCCCCCCCCCCCCTCGTCGCTGCCTCAAACCCTAACCCCTAAACCCTAAACCCTAAACCCTAAACCCTAAACCCTAAACCCTAAACCCTAAACCCTAAACCCTAAACCCTAAACCCTAAACCCTAAACCCTAAACCCTAAACCCTAAACCCTAAACCTTACCAGCCGAGTGTTCTGCCCTGCCGGCCTGCACCTGCTCGTCTGTCAGGGCCCCAGAGGCCAAGCCCAGCGGTGCCGCGCGGGCAGCGCAGGACTGGGTACAGGCGTTTGGGGTTTAGGGTTTAGGGTTTAGGGTTTAGGGTTTAGGGATACTGGCTTTGGGGCCTCTAGGATGGCATTGGGGTTTAGGATGGTCTGGGCTTAGGATGGTTTAAAGTTTCAGGCTATTAAAGTTTCAGGTTTTGTGGCTCAGGGCTTGGGCCTTCCAGGGTCTAGGGCGGAGGCATGGCCGGGGGCTTAGGGCTCAGCTTTTGGGATCTGGGGCTCGATCTCAAAGGTGGCACCTTTTTTTGTGCAAGCACAAAAGAGAGAGCCAAAGAGTTGGGCAGTTAACTTTGAGCAGCCCTTACCCCTGTACCACAGCTACAGAGAGGAAATTAAAGCATCCCGAAACCCTAGATCCTGAACAATAACCCGGAGCCTTCAAGCAAACTTCGAAACCCCTATATACTCATATAGTTAGTCCCCTTAAACCCTTGAGCCCTTAAATCCTTAAAACCCTCAAAACCTAGACTCCAAACCCGAATTAAACCCTAAACACGAAACCCCAAACCCTAAACCCCAAGCCCTCAACCCCTAAACCCCAAACCCTAAACTCCAAACCCCAAACCCTAAACCCGAAACCCCAAACCCTAAACCCGAAACCCTAAACCCTAAGCTCACCCATCTCCAGTCCCCGTAAGTTTGGGTGCCTCGGCGCCGGGACCACTCTTTTCGCCCGCAAGTTCGGCGGCAGTCTCCTCGGGTTTAGGGTTTAGGGTTTAGGGTTTAGGGTTCAGGGTTTACAGTAGGGCTTTCGTGAGGGAGGGAAGGGGGGGTGTAGTCCGTATAAGCCTTCTAAGTATAGTCTTGAGTACAGGGAAGCCTAGAAACATTGCCGAACAACACTTCAGGAAATTGAAACCCTCTATCTGCCCATGAAACCCTAAACCCCTCAGCCTAAACCTTAAACCACCCTGCATTTCAACAGCCCTACAGCCTGCTTCACCGCTTGGGTGGATTTGCGGGGCGGTCCTCAAGGAGTTTGGCCCCACGGTCGCCCAGCTGCGATGTCTGCAGAAAGCCCTGTAGCTTCCTGGCAGCGCTTTTTTTTCAGCACGCCAAACTTTAGGGACCGGCGGCTCCTAAACAGAAAACCCCCGAACCAAAAAGCTCGGGGTCCAGAGGGTTGACATAGGGGTTCTAGTGGTGCAGGGTGTATGTGCCCTTAACCCTAAACCCTAAACCCTAAACCCCAAACCTTAAACCCTAGACCCTAGACCCTAAACCCCAAACCCTGAACCTAAACCCTAGGAGTAAAGCCAGGCTGCTCCAGGCAGTGGCCAAGGTTTCCTGGGCGATTCTGCAAGCTTGGGGGGGTTTGGGGTTTAGGGCTTCGGGGGGCAGCAGGGGCAAACACCCCAAACCCTAAACCCTAAACCCTAAGCCCTAAGCCCAAAACCCTAAACCCTAAACCCTAAACCCTAAACCCCGAAGCGTGTGTTGAGGCTGCTGGGTCTTTGGGGCTTTGGGTTGGGATGTTCCCACAGTCCTTCATGGAGATTAGACTACCCCCGATGATAAGCCCTTAAACCCTGAACCCTAAACCCTAAACGATTCATTCCCTACGAAGAATCAGCATAAAGGACATCGCCTGACAACCCCCAGGGCAACAGGGGGAGTCTATCAGGCATATAAGTAGGAAAAACTCCCTACCAGGGCTTCATGCCTACTTTTTCCACGCGCCTAACTTTTCCCAAACCCTAAACCCTAAACCCTATACCCGAAACGCTAAACCCTAAACCCTAAACTGCAACTCTCAGCCCTAAGAACTCCCGAAGTCTCGCCGGAGGCGCGATGATCCTCGGCGATCTTGCCCCAGACTGTGGCTCGGTGGGCATCCAGCTGACGAACCTCAAAGCCCGAGGCCCCCCAAACCCTAAACCCTAAACCCTAAACCCTACACCCTTATCATGCTAGACCTTAAACTTAAGCCTTAAACCCTACAACCCTAAACCCTGAATAGTAAACCCTAAACCCGAAGTTCAAGTTGGCCCCAACCCCAAGTAAGGCCCAGACAAGGCTTAGGATGTTTAGGGGCTGAGTGGGTTTGTTTCAGGCGTCTCCCCCCACTAATTCATGTCCGCAAGAAGGCTCAAGTGACGTTTGGGGCCTCAAGATGGTGAAAGGAAGGGGGGGGGGGGTGGAGGGGCTCCCACATCTGGTGGTTAGTGGCCCCCCAACCCCCCCCCCCCCAGAACCACACACCCATTCGAGTGAGCTTCGGCTTTTGCCTGAGTCAGCTGGCACTAATAATGCACCTACACATCCATGACAAATTGGGGTTTCCGAAATTAGGGGTACCGTATTGGGGCCCATACTCCAGAAAAAATCTACTAAGTCTACGATTTGGGGATCTATATTGGGGGTCCCCTATTTCATAAACCCCCAAGATTGTGGTGGATCTTGCCATGCTTTCTCTTACGAGCTCAAGCTCTCGCAGAGTCTTGATCGCTGAGCCGGAGGTGCAAAGGGCTCCAATGTCCGGGGATGAACTGCCGGTGCACACCGGCGTTCTTGTGGCACCCGCAGCAGCGGTAGCGCCACCACGCGGTTCTCTTGCATCACGCACAGATGACTCTTTGTTGATCTTGCACACCCTCAGCATGAGAGAAGTGCTCTGGTCGGTCCGTCGACCGGTCCATGTCCAGGTTGGTGCGCATGCCAGAAGCGGCTGCCTGCAGGTCAAGGGACGTACCCCCATACCTCCCCCCAGGACCAGACCCTCTGCAAGATGTGTTGGGTGCAAAAAGGGTTAAGGGTGGTTTAGGGTTGAGGGTTTTGGGTCAAGGGTGTTTTCTTCTGTGCTGAAAGTTTCTGGGCTTGGGGCTTCGGCTTGAACCCACGAGGTACATGTAGAATTGTCCTAGTCTTGTAAACCTAGACCCAAAAGTAACCTCGGTGGCTTAGGGTTTAGGAATGAGGGTGTCGGGCTTAGAGTACCCGGGAATAAGAAGGGTGCCCTTTTTGGGATAACAGGGCTTGTGAGGGAACCTAAACCCTGAAAAAAGGGAATCAGGGCCTACCCTGGGTCCGAGCTCTAAACCCGAAACCCTAAACCCCAAACCCCTTGGTTTAGGGTTTAGGGTTGGGGCTTAGGCTTAGGCTTAGGGCTAGGGTTTAGGGTTTAGGGGTTAGGGTTTAGGGTTTAGGGTTTAGGGTTTAGGCGTTTAGCGTTTAGGGTTTAGGGTTTAGGAATAAGGGTCTACTCTGGGTCCTAGCAACCTAAGCTCCACCAGCTGCCAGACAGGGAGCCATGAGAGAAAGGATCTGGCTGCGCTCCTTTTCGGGTTTAGGGCTAGGGTTTAGGGTTTAGGGTTTAGGGTTTAGGGTTCAGGGTTTAGGGTTCAGGGTTCAGGGTTTAGGGTTTAGCGTTTAGGGTTTCGGGTTTAGGGTCTAGGGTTATTCGGCTACGGGTTTCGCAGGCTGAGCCCTTAACCCTCGGACCCTGAACCAGGAATGATCAGCATGTTCTCGCTGTTTGGGCTCATGAAGCCATCAACACTGAAAGCCACAACCCGAAACCCATAGCCCCTAAAACCCTCAACCCCATCAACCCTAATCCCTATAAACCATAAACCCCATACACCCCAAACCCTACAAACCCCAAAAACCCTTACCAAAAAAGACCTAATTCCTCAAACCCAAACCCTGTACATCCTAACCCCACCCTGTACACCCAAAAAGTCTTGAACAAAAAGCCGAAGCCACAAACCCTCAAACCCTCCACATCCTAAACCCACCCTGTAGACCCTTTTAGACCCTAAACCCTAAACCCTAAACCCCTCGGGTCCTGGGGGTTAGTCTTTCCGGATTCGGCCTTGGCGTCCTCCGAATCCTGGCCCCCGCCCGCGCGCGCGCGCGCGCGCGCGCGCGGCGTGCGCGCGCGCACAGGGGTTTGTTGAAGTTCGGGCTTTGGGGAGGTGGGGGGGGGGGGGGTTGAAAGTCGAAGTTTAGGGTTTAGGGGGTAGGGTTTAGGGTCTAGGGTCGAGGGTTTAGGGCCAGTTCAGGGTGGTGTTTGAGGGTTTGAGGGCTCTGTGGGGATGCCGAGTTGAGGCGAAGAGGGCTTGCGAGGAAGCTGGGTTTAGGGTTTAGGGTTTAGGGTTTAGGGTTTAGAGTTTAATTAGGGTTTAGGGTTAAGGGTTAAGGGTTTAGGGTTCAGGGTTCAGGGTTTAGGGAATGACGTTTTGAGCTGCTCCACGCGGCCATCTCCCCCCAGTTTAGGGTTGAGGGCGTGGGGATTCGGTTGGGATGCTCCGCCCTGATACCAGCAGTCCCTCATGGGGATTCTAATACCCCCCCTATTATAGTCCCTAATAGGGATTCTAGACCCTAAAACCTAAACCCTAAACCCTAAACCCTAAACCCGAAACCCGAAACCCTAAACCCTAAACCCTAAACCCTAACCCTAAACCCTAAACCCCAAACCCTAAACCCCAAACCCCAAACCCTAGAGCCGGCAAAGCCCGAAGGCCTCCTCCACCTGCGACGTCCGAGCCGCCTCTCTCCGCACCTGAAATCGCAGGGTTTAAGGCCTAGCCAGGGTTCATTTAGGGTTTAGGGGTATTGGGTTTAGGGTTTAGGGCTTAAGGTTTAGGGCCTCGGGTTTAGGGCAAAACCAGAGCCCCCCTCCCAAGTAATCCTCTCTCTACATGCCTTGACGTTCCTAGTGCTGAAAGGGGCCCAACTTATCCAGGGTCGTCGCAGGTGGCTGGGTCTAGGGGGTTTGAGCTACAATCGGTGTTTAGGGTTTAATTACGGCGGGCCCGCCAGAGTTCCAGAAGCTTCCCCAGAAGCCCATGGCCCCCAAAACACAAGCCCTTGCAAGAGCCTGCAAGCCTAAACCCTAAACCCTAACATCTGAAGCCATCCGATAAGGGTTTAACCCTAACCTTTAAACCCTAAACCCTAAACCCTAAACCCTAACATCAGAAGCCATCCGATGAGGGTTTAGGGCGTTCGGCTTCGATGCCTCCCCGAGAAGACCTACGCGCCCACAAGAAACCCTGTGGAAATCGGAACGGAAGGCCTCAGCCAGAGGGCCTGAACCCCTAAACCCTAAACCCCTAACCCCCTAAACCCTAAACCCCTAACTCCTTAACCCGAAACCCTAAACCCCTAAACCCCTAAACCCTAAACCCCGAAGCCCTAAACCCCAAGTCGAACGCCCAAGGCGCCAAGGGGAGGAAGGTGGCTAAGGTGCTCTCCAGCTGCCTCGCAGCGGCTTTTAGCTTGGGGCTTGGCCCATCAGCCCCCTAAGCCCTAAGCCCTAAACCCTAAACCCCAAACCCTATAAACCCTCAACCCTATAAACCCTAAACCCTAAACCCCGAAACCCTAAACCCTTAAGGCCTTAAACCCTTGAGCCTTTGAGCCCTGAAAACCCTTAAGCCCTACACACCAGCCTTTAAAGCCGCACACCCCTAAATCCTGAATCCGAAACTCCCTAGCCTCCCTACATTGGGGTTTCTTGGGGGTTGGTGTTTCGGGCTTTCTTGGGTTTAGGTGAGGGTTGTTGGGATCAAAACCCTAAACCCTAAACCCTAAACCCCTCAGCTGTTCCAACCCCTAAACCCTAAACCCTAAACCCCTAAACCCCTAAACCCCTAAACCCCTAAACCCCTAAACCCCTAAACCCTAAACCCCTAAACCTCGAAACCCCTAAACCCCTAAACCCTAGGCCCTAAACTGCACTGCCCAGTTCCCTATGAAGAGCAAGCTGAAGGCCTTGCAGGGCCGCAGGGGTTTAGGGTTTAGGGTTGAGGGTTGAGGGTTTAGGGATTCGGGTTTAGGGTTTAGGGTTCGGGCTTAAGGCTTCGGTACTCGAGGTAACCGTGCTGGTTCAGGCGGTGTTGCTCGGCAACCCCCTGAACTCAACCCTAAACCCCAAACACTGAACTCTGAACCCTAAACCCTAAATCCTAAACCCTAAACCCAAACTCTAAACCCACAACAACTCTGAACCCTACCCGCTAACACCCCCCCCCCCCCCAAAAAAACCCAAATCCTACACAGCCCGAAGCTCACAAAAAGGTGGGGAACCCAAAACCCAAAACCCAAAACCCCAAACCCTAAACCCTACACCCTAAACCCTAAACCCTAAACCCAAAACAGCCTTTCTTCTTGTGCGAGCACTTCGAGCTCTCGGAGCATCGATGCGACCTCGGGTCTGATGAACAGGACTGCACACACCTCCCCGATTTAGGGTTTGGGGTTTAGGGTTTAGGGTTTAGGGTTTAGGGTTTAGGGTTTGGGGTTTAGGGTTTAGGGTTTAGGGTTTAGGGTTTAGGGTTTGGGGTTTAGGGTTTAGGGTTTAGGGTTTAGGGTTTAGGGTTAGAGGTCGCCATGCTGCCTTGCGCTCAGCTTGGTGCAAAAGCATCCTGGCGCCAAAAGGGCGGTTTAGGGTTTAGGGTTTAGGGCTTAGGGCTTAGGGTTTAGGGTTTCGGGTTTAATTAGGGTTTAGGGTTTAGGGTTTAAGGTCTAGGGTTTAGGCTGGTGCGAATTGACCCTCAACCCTCGACACTGAGATTCTCTTTGCCTAGTGTTGCTACTCTAGATTAGGTCCTAAACCCTAAACCCTAAACCCTAAACCCTAAACCCTAAACCCTAAACCCTAAACCCTAAACCCTAAACCTTCAGGTGCTATGGGTACATACATCCCTTGAGGCTTAGGGAATTTCGGAGACCAAAGCAGTCCTGTCACCGGCACTGTCTTCCTCGTCTCCTTTGCCCATGCGCTCCATCCACGTGTCCACATCGTGCATCGCGGCATCCTGCGATGTGGGGCGCTTGGAGAATCGGTTTAGGGTTTAGGGTTTAGGGTTTAGGGTTTAGGGTTTAGGGTTTAGGGCTGTTTGGGCTGATGGTCTTGCAGGGGGGAGGGTTGTGGATGGTTTAGGGTTTAAGGTAATAATAGCAAGCCATCCCGTCATCATAGAACCGGGCCTGGGATTTGTTAGAAGATTGAAGGGGCTGTGGGGCTGGCTAGGGCTGGCTACAGCTTGGTCCCTGCTTGCAGCGCTCACATTTCTTGCTTGCAAGGCTTGCTCTGACACCTCACTTGAAAGTTGGTCGAAGTTGATATCCCGATGCAGGCGCAGTGAGGCTAACCTTCTTCTTGCTGGATGCTGGCAGTTCAACAGGAAGCTCATCCAGGCGCTCATTCGCGTCAGGCAGTCTGTTCCATATCCCTCTTGGGACACACTCGCGCAGCAAGGATGCCAAGGAAGCTTCTTTGGGGCAGGCCCTCCGAAGCACATAGTCGAGCACCTCACGCATTTCCAGGAGAACTGCTAAACTCAAATCCAGCGCATCAGCTAGTTGCCTCATCTTGTCATCATCGGCTTTCAAGTGCTCTCCCCAGATCTGCCACAGGTAGGCACTTTGCGCACCTTCCAGCGGCTTGAACCAAGCTCCCAGCGTCAAGCGCAGGAACGAAGCTACTGCAGGGTTCACAGCATCGCGTGGGTCGTCCAACTGTTTGGCCAAAAGCTCATCAGCATCGAAGAACCGTGAATGAATCATGGACACCATCTTCAAGAGTTGACGTGAATGAACCCAATCTGCAAAGGCTCCTTGGCCACTTTGCCCGTTCACGAAGACATTGATCATCGTGACAGTCGAAGCGGCGTGTGCGGCCGCCAAGCTGTACCCACGGTCGCCGAAGTCAGAAAATCTGGCGACGTGCTGCTGGTTAGTGAGCTCCGCACCCAAAAAAGCAGGAACAAAGCAAACGACGTTGATGTACTTCTCAATCAAAAGGGCGGCTCTGCAATCAGACTCCCCCTGCTGTTCAGCTAAGTTGTCGCGGCTAGGCGAAACCAAATCAACTTCCTTGGGGAGTAGCTGCGTGAGGTCAGCACCATCTGCCGCCGCCGCCGCCTGAAGCCGATGAAGCAGCACCTCCAGTAGGGCAAGCCAGGTCTTATCTGTCTTGAAAGTGCAGGTTATAGTTTTGACCTTGTCAAGGCCGCAGCAAGCATCCAACAGGCAACCCAAAGTATCGGCGCTTGCCTCATCCTGGAAGTTCACATTCCGAATGAGCACGGAAGCGGCCCGTACAAATTCATCTGAAGCCTTGAGCTCTGCAACCCCAGCAAGTACAGCCTTCCAATCTTCCGAAGGCAAGCACACCCTCCTCAGCAAGTATCCACGTGGACACACAAGAGCTAGCCTCGGGCGGCCAATGAAATCAGAGCTTGGCACAGTTGCATCCACATTGTCAGCCAGATCCTTTGGCTTCTTGCCGAAGAGCGGGGCAAGCAAATTGTAACATGTCCACTCGCCTTTGCTGGATGCCACCTGCAGGCAGTTTCGCTCCGTGATTGGATTGTTGGTCTTTGCCTCCCTCTCCACAACATACATCAGCTTTGTTATGTCATGCTCGTGCAGTTTAGCCCATGCCAAGAGCTGGGAAAGTGCGGGGACTGAGCCATGGATTATGGCAACGTGGAACGCTGTCTCGCGGGCGCTTCCTACAGGATGCAGTGGCTCAGCCAACACACGCCACGGAGCTTGCGGATATGATTCCGAAGTGTACGAGTCAAGCAGCAGCTGAACGGTGTCCAGGTGGCCCTCCTCGATGCAAGTGTGGAGGAGGTTGCCATTCAGCCTTCCGACAAGTTTCAGATTTTGGGCGTGTTTCGTATCGCCACTCTCATAATACTTCTGCAGCATGGAGTTGAACTGCGGATTCTCCATGACCTGCTTGATTGCCTCTGGATCTTGTCTTTGGTCAAAGAGCAGCTCCTCCGCATGCTGGCAAATCGAGCGGAGATTGTTGAGGAAGTCTGTGAAAACGATCTCCACGATCTTGAAGTCCCCTGGGGGAATGAATCGGCGGTCATTGCCTGAAACGACTACATGGTACACTTTTTGCTTGTCCATGGCCTCCAGAATTCCTTGGCGCAAGGATGAACTACATCGCCCTTCATGTTCCAGTGCACGTACCAACTCTCCCTGATGAAGCCGCCTGATGAAATACCAGCCGCGCAAGCGTATGTGGCGAGCACCTCTTGTAGGAGCAGGCTGAACTGAGAGCATGCGGAAGCCTGACTTCTGTGTAGCATCATTCAGCTCCTTTGGAATGGCATCGCGGTCTTTCCATACTTGGCATCTCAGAAGGTCCATCACACCATTGGTCCCATAAGTCGCATCGGAGAGTGCCATGTTGCCGAAGCCCAACACCCCTGCTTGGCAGGCTGATCCTCGGGCCACACGGCTGAAGGCGGACCATCTCCTTTTTGTTTGATTCAGGGTCTTTAGGGTTTGGAGCGTGGGAGGAGGGGAGGAGGGGAGGAGGGACAGGAAGAGCACAGGAAGAGGACCGGAGAAGGACCGGAGAAGAACCGGACGAGGACCGGAGGAGGACCGGAGGAGGACCGGAGGAGGACCGGAGGAGGACCGGAGGAGGACCGGAGGAGGACACGTCTTTGATGTTTTGTCGAGGGATTGGTTTCAGGGTTTGAGGTTTAGAGATGTAGAGGTTCAGGGTCTAGGCTGTAGGGGTTCAGGAGGGAAACATGCTGCTGTAACTGAAGACGCTACTGTTTGCCTGCAGTGCAGACCTGTGTTGCGGAAGTTAGCTCGGACAAATCGATGGTGCGCTCTCGCACTGTGTCGGCGCCCCTTGCCGCGGCCTCGGCGTCACACCCGCTAACCGCAGCTTGTGCTCTAAGGCTTTGCCTCTCTCCTGACGTGTTCAGGTGGCCCTCGCCTGTGTGGCGCTGTTCAACAGCTACAGCTTCGTGGCCCCGCGGCAGGTCCAAGTGAGATTTCGGAGATGCCTTCGCCATCGCGCGGATTTTCAGACTCGAGAATTGTGCGGCCGAAGGCCAGCATCCCTGCCGCTGCCATCACGGCGGCGGTGTCCCTGCCTCCCTGCTTATTAAGGAAGAGTCCTTTCTTGTTTTTTTTTGTTTTTTTTGGGGGGGGGGGGGGGCTCTTAAGCACATAGTCGTAATCCTAGCCCTAACCCCCAAACCCTAAGCATACCCTAAACCCTAAACCCCCAAACCCCTTCCCCCGCTCTCCCCACCCGCCTTGCACACAGCGACAGCGCGACATTGCGCAGCCACCCGCTGCTCCTGCAAGTGAGATCACCCCTTTTGACTGGACCGTACTGGGCCTTGACCGGAGGTCCATTCTGTATGTAGATATACATATGTACATGTATATGTACACACATATACATACATATATGTATATATATATATATATATATACATATATATATATATACATATATACATACATGCATGCATACATACATACATACATACATACATACATGCATGCGTCTTTACATCTATATACACACATATACATGCATGCATACATACATACATACATACATACATACATACATACATGCGTCTTTACATCTATATACACACATATATATATATATGTGTGTGTATGTATGTATGTATGTCTGTATGTATGTTGTGTGTACGTGTTGGTTAGCCGCCGAATAGACTTACGGGTAGGGTTCATGAATTACAGCCGCCCAAACGCTGAGATACCCTGAGATCTGTAAATGCGCATGTAACCCTGAAATCGTAGCGGCCTGGGGGTCCCCTAGTTGGACTAAGAAGAACCCGATGCAGCTTTGACAGCAGAGAAACCCCTGAACGTTTGCAGCCCGGAAGCCCTACATCCTTAAACTCCTACAGGTATATCTGGGGGTTTCCACAGTAGGGGTACCCTTTTTCGGGGTTCCTTGAAAATAATTATAGTTAAAGTATTTCTGGGTATCTAAGGGGTACCCCAGTTTTCGGAAATCCCCACCTCGCACCCAACTTCCCGACTACTGGCTGTGCCTTCTCCAGCACCGCGGCGATCTGTGCCGGCCAAGTGTTGAAAGCTTCGCCACCTTCGACGCTCATCAGCTCCTCGTGGAAGGCTTGAGGGTTGGATGTTCCCCGGTTTAGGGTTTAGGGTTTAGGGTTTAGGGTTTAGGGTTGCACTACATAAGGACTGTTAGTATAAGGGGGAACATCCCGAGGTTGAGGATTCAATTGGCGTTCGGGCTGTGGGGTTTCGGGTTCGAAGACTCGGGGTCGTGTGTTCCATTCGCAACTTGGCCCTAAACCCTAAACCCTAAACCCTAAACCCTAAACCCTAAACCCTAAACCCTAAACCCTAAACCCTAAACCCTAAACCCTAAACCCTAAACCCTAAACCCTAAACCCTAAACCCCAGAGTTCAAGGACTTCGGGGTTGCCTGAGTGTTCATGCGCAACTCTAGGTGAAGTTAGAGGTCGGTAAGGCGGACCTTGCTACAACACCTTGAGTAGCCCAGCAAGGACTACTATGACAAGGGGCCTTTTTTTGGGGATGGCTACTTGACAAGGGAACATGGTACCACTGGGCTCCCAAGCTAGGGTTTGTGGTAGCAGTTTGGAAGGTCAGTGTGGGTGCTTCGCGCGCGAAAGCACCAAGACCTAGATCCGGCAGGTTGATGACCAAGCCGCCTCAGTCCCAGCCCTAAACCTCCAAACCCGAACATCCCTCGAAACTGTCCTTGTGCCCCAAAACCCTGCATGCAACATCCACACCACAAAAACTCCAGCCAAATGTATGAATACCTGCAATGCCTAAAGCCTAAAGCCTAAACCCTAAACCGTTGCTCTCCCTACGGCCACAGGCCCTCCATGGGCCTATACTCTGATCCCAAGCTGCCTGAGGGCTACCACCAAATTAGCCTAAGCCCTACACGACACAAAAGCTAACTACACAGAAACACAATATGAACAACCTAAGTCACAAAGTACACAATACAAAATACAAATAATAAGAACAATCATGGCAATAGAAACCATAAGTAAACAAACAGTATAAGACAATGATCGTACTTATGATGTCCGTTATCAACAATGGCCCCCGCGATAATCGAACACTTTGAGGAATCTCACCCGATTCTCCCAACTTCCGAAAGCTGGGCAATGTTCCCAGCCCCCAAACCCTGAACCCTAAACCCTATTAACTTTAAAAGGGCCGGGTTGTTCTGAACAGGTGCCCCTGACTTTGGGGTCTCTATTCTTGTAAGGTCCTTGGACTTAAACCCTAAACCCTACATCCTCCAACCCTGCACCCTGCACCCTAAGCCCGAAACCCCAAATCCTTAAACCCTGAACCCTAAACCCTAACCCCGAACCCCTAAACCCTAAACCCTAAACCCCAGCGCTGGAATTCCTGCAGCGTCAGCTCCAGATCGCAGTTGTCCTCCAGTAGCTTCAGCCGCCTTAGGAGGGCTGAGGAGCTTGGTTAAGTGGGTTAGGGTTAGGGCTTCGGGTTTAGAGGGTTTAGGGTTTAGGGGGTTTAAGGTTTCCGGCTTAGGCAAAGTTACGGTAAGCAGGAGAAACGATGCTTCTTTCATCGCTATCTGTTTTTGAGATGCATGTAGACACGAACACCCATGTAGTTATTTGTTCAACGAAGGGCCGGAGGGAATGTTTAAATGAACGACAAACCAACTGAGCTTGGGAGTTTACTAGAGCAAGGTCTGTAGGGCTTTCTGGCCTTGGGGCTCTAGGCGGATTGTTGTGGATTCAGGGCGTCTAGGAGTTTGAGGGTTTCTAGTTTTGAAGGTGTTAGGATGTGTTTTTGTTGTTTGGGGGGAGGCGGGGGGTTTGAGAATCTGAACCGTGCAGTTGCTTGATTCAAAAGCCTAGAGGCCTGAATATGCCGAAGCACCCTAAACCCTAAACCCTACACCCTAAACCCTAAATCCTCTTCGAGCACGCGGCCGCCGCTGTTCGGCATTGGCGCGCTCCCGAATCCTGGGAGCGCGGTTGTGATGGGGAACCCTAAGCCCTAGTTCTTCGTAGCCCAGTAGCCATATTCCAATAAGGGTTTAGGGTTTAGGTTTTAAGGGTACCTGTTTTTGGTTGGTTACTTTCTACGGGAAACCAGAACCAAAAGAAGGGTGAGGGTAGCACTGGGCGAACTTCCAAGAAAGTAAACCCTAAACTCCAAACCCTAAACCCCAAACCCTTGGGAGAGAGGGTTCAGGGGTCCTTTCATACAGGAACCCTCATTGAAAAACTGACAACGTATACCCTAGGGTCTAGGGTGTAGTAGCCCTAAACCCTAAACTCTAAACCCTAAACCCAACCCTAACCCCCTCTACCTGAAACCCTTCGGCCGCACCCCCCCCCCCCCCCCCCCCCCAATGTCTTGCCGCCGTGAGTCTTCTGCGCCTCCAATTCTAAAGCTCGCCGCTGCTCCTCACCGCCAGTGGCCCCTAAACCCCAAACCCTGAACGGCAAACCCTAAACCCCAAACCCTAAACCCCAAACCCTACACCCTGAACCCCAAACCCGAAACCCCAAACCCTGAACTGAACCCCAAACCCTCAACCCCAAACCCCGGGCGTCTCGCGCTACATGAGCCTCCGGGCTTTGAAAGGCCCAAACCCCTGGGGGGTCGGAGTCGACAGGGTTTAGGGTTTAGGGTTTAGGGTTAAGGGTTAAGGGTTAAGGGTTAAGGGTTAAGGGTTAAGGGTTAAGGGTTAAGGGTTAAGGGTTAGGTAATTTTCTTTTTCAGAAGGGTTGTAGGGCTCAGAGGGTTTAGGGTTTAGGCTGTTGGGTTTAGGGAAGGCTTCTAGGGCTTTGAAGTAATTATTTTCATTTTTGTTAAAGGGTTGTAGGGCTCAGAGGGTTTAGGGTGTAGGGTTTAGGGAAGCCTTCTAGGGTTTTAAAGGTTTTCACGTTTATATATGGTTGTATCTATAGGATCCATTAGAATGTCTTGCAAGGTTTGAAGGGCTTCAGGGTTTGTAAGGCCGGGGAGTTTTTCCCTTATTTTCCGTTAATATTATTATTACTTTTTTCTTTTGTTCTGTTTTGTTGGTCGGTTTACGGTTTAGGGTTTCGGGTCTAGGGTTTAGGGTTTAGGGTGTTTAGGGTTTAGGGTTTAGGGGGGTTTAGGGTTTAGGGTTTCGGGTTGCTTGGGTTGCTTGGGTTGCTTGGGTTGCTTGGCTTGCTTGCTTGCTTGGCCACACGGCCAGAAAAAAAATGAACAAAACGGGAAAATAAGCAACAAAAAACACCGCCACCGGTTTCTAAGGGGTTTGAAGGTTTATATAAGGTTGTATAGGCCCCAATTGGAAATTTGTTATAAGGCTTATAGGTCGGGCTTTTAGAGTTGCATTATATAGGGTCTGTATAGGGCCCATTATAATTGCTATAAGGCTTATAGGTCTTAAGGGTTTTAAGTTTTACATGAGGTTGTATAGGGTCCATTAGAGCATTGAAAGCGCTTACAGGGTTTTACGGGTGTAGGGATGTTGGGTTCAGGGTTGCAGGGATTGGGGTAGGGTAGGGGGCTGAAGGAGAACCAGAGCTTGTGGGTATAGGTTCTTCTCCGCGGACTCAACTGGTGGTGGGTCGTAAGCACACAGCGACACGGTGCTGCGCAACCCTAAACCCCAAACCCTAAACCGTAAACACAAAAAAGCCAAGCCCTGCCCCGCCCCCAAGCCTCGTGCTTCTGCGTGTCACGCTCCTTATCCTGGTGGCAGGGGGGCCACATATCTCTCAGGCGTTGCCTAAGCCTCTGGGCCCCAAAGAGCCCCGAAATCCACAATCTCGATTCTCGAAATGATGCCCCAACAAAAATCCACTCAACCCTAAACCCCAAAGCCTATGATCCCCTACAAAGCCCTTGGCTCCCCCTACATCGTTTCGGCTTGGGAAAGTTGGGACGCGATCGCGGCGGTTGCCATTGGCTTCATGTTGCGGCGCTTAGGGTTTTGGGTTTAAGGTTCAGGGCTTAGGGCCTAGGGCTTCTGTAAGGACGAGGCCTCCAAGACCCAAAACCTTGAGCCCCAAGGACCCTTCATTAAGACCAACTAACCCCCAAGCCCTGCCTGCCAGAGGCACCTCTCTTGCAGTCGAATCATGGACACTTCCCAAGCTCTAATCTCTTGGGTAGGTCTGGCTTAAGGTACCGGATTTCGCAGGCAAGCAAGAAAAGCTTGGCACCTTGACAGCCCCCAACAAAACCCTCAACCCGCAACCCTAAACACCAATCTGGCGCCTCCCACGTCTGCTTCATGAAGCGTTCCATCTCCTCGATCTGGTCTGTGTAGCCTCACTGGGTTGGTTAGGGCTTAGGGCTAAGAACCTCCAGAAGGAACCCCTTGATCCCCAAATACACCCTAAACAACCCATGTATCCACATCTAGCTTTGGTCCCCCCAAGTCGGTGGATTTTGGGGCTTATGGGGCTCTAGGGGGACTGTGGGGCTCTGGGGCTCTGGGAAGGGGTTGGGGGAGGTGAAAACTTTCGAGGTTGGGGGGAGGGGCTTTACGGGCCTCGCAGAAGCTTAAATACCTTGTGACAGGTCAACCTGGATCAAGTCTCAAAGGATGTCACAACCCAGACAGTTCGTGCGCATGAAAACGCCCGACCCCAAACCCTGAGCCCTTCTACATAGGCCTTAATGATTAGAACAGGGTTTTGGGGGTTATGATAGAATATAGGGACCTGCAAAACAGGGGAAAGATCTACTCGAAACTTTTCCGACCCCTATATTACACCCCTAAACCCTAAACCCTAAACCCTAAACTCTGAACCCTAAACCCTAAACCCTAAACCCCAAACCCTAAAGCAAGCCCCCTCAAGCCCTATACCGAACTCGTCGGGCTCCCCCTCTCCGGTGCTGTCCGCGGGGCGAGAAGTGTCGATGTGAATCTTCGCCTCAAGAGGCCACCCTTTACTGCACTAATGTGGGGGAAGTTTAGGGTTTAGGGTTTAGGGTTTAGGGTTTAGGGTTTAGGGGAATTGGGGCCCTAAATATACCCTTGAAGGGAGTAGAGGCACCTCATTCCCTACTAAGAACCAGCCAAGAGGGTTTCGGATGATATGAGGCTTTTAAGCCGAAGTTGCAGCACATGCAACCCAGTGTGAGTCCAGCAAAGGCCTACCAACTTTCCTGCCGCTTTCAGGGTTTTGGGGGGAGAGAGGTTGACGATTGTGCGTGTTGAGTGGAAAGGCGGCTTTTTTTGCCCTGACGAGCCAGTTTTATTCGGGAATGTCGGGCTCCAAGTAAGGGGCGTGGCTCTTGGGTGCATTGGCGCAATGATTCGCAAGTCTAGTTTGCCAAGCAACCTGGAAAGAAAACCCGGAGCCGGCACCCCTGAAATTGGGGTTTACGAAAATACGGGACCCCTAAGCGCTAAACCCTAAACCCGAAACCCGGGTTCCCTTGTAACAAGGGCCCCAAAATGGTACCCCCAAGTCGTTCAGTGAGATTAAGCCTAATTAAGGTTATTTAAGGGGGGAACCTGGGGGGGGGGGGGTAGTACAGAGGCGGGGTAGTAGGGGAACCCATGACACAAGGTCGTGCCTGCTCGGCTTCAGCCAACTTCGCGCGCAGCATCTCGACCTGCACTTGAGTTCGAGCCCTAGAGGTCCCAAAAGTGGCAGCTGAAGAGCCCTAAACCCGAAACCCGAAACCCGAAACCCTAAACCCCAAACCAGGGGGGCTTAGGTGCCGGGGGACGCCCGAAAGGCATCCACACGAAGTGGCTAACACCAACGAAAGCTCGGGTGGTAGGGGCGAGAGGCCCTTCGTGCCAGGTGCATTTGCAAGTCTCGCAGCTTCAGCTGAAAATTCCGAGGAACTCGAATCTGCCAGATGCGGGGCCATGAACAAACTGTTGATCACAAGAAACATGCTGGGAACGGGAAGCCAGACGACGTCTGACGGTCTGGGCCTTGAGGTGTGTGTTTGCTTTTCAGGTCGGCTCGTAAAGGTAAGGTACGAACTACAGCCATCCGACTTGCTTGCAGCCACGTGCATGCTGCAGGGATTCTTCAAGCAGAACCTGCCACCCTAAACCCTAAACCCTAAACCCTAAACGGCCCTAAACCCCAAGCCCTAAGCCCTAAATCCTAAACCCGGTGCTGAGGGCTGCTTCACGACTTCCGGGCCTCCTCTTCAAGCTTCGACAGATGCTCCGCCTCCTCATTCTTGGACCTGCAGCTCCACCCCCCCTAGCCCTCGCCCCCTTTAGGGTTTAGGGTTTAGGGTTTAGGGTTTAGGGTTTAGGGTTTAGGGTTTAGGGTTTAGGGTTTAGGGTCCCACCCCCCAAAAACCGTGGGCTGCGCTTGATGTTGCAAGGCTCTGGGGCTTCTGGGGTTTAGGGTTTAGGGTTCAGGGTTTAGGGTTCGGGGCTTCTCAAACCATCGGTGCATCAAGCACCCTACATGTCAGAGTACCTAATCAGGATGGGCTGTCATGCCCTTTCATCCCTGAAAGATGGCTTGAGTGTAGGGATTGTAGGACGTTACAACGTGATGTCCCTTGTTGTCGCAGTGGCCAAGGGGCGCATTCAGCTTGATAAACTTTGCACGGGCAGCGTAGTTCAGCGTGGAAAGCGTCTCCTCACCTGGGTAGAGGGTCAAAGCCCTTTCTACGGGGCCGCTCCCACAAGCGTAAAGGGCTTGGGCGTTGGGACGCTTGGGCGTGAAAAGGGAATCAAGATATTGCAGTGGCCGGGGCGGTAGAGCACTGGTAGTAACTTTAAACGCTGTTCTGGGGACTTGGGCAAAAAGAAGGTTGGAGGCTTCGTATGGCTGCAGTAGGAGAAATTCATGGACTTGTTGCTGTGGAGACAAAGTATGTTGGGTCCATGAGGTTGGGCGGACGTGGCGTCAATCATGGGATCCTCTTAAACCCATGATGGGAAAACACATCATAAAGTATCCCAAGAGTCCCAAGGGACGACCTGGCATTCATACACTTCTTCAGAGAAGCTGCCTGGCTTGGGCCCACGGCAGAGGCGCTGAGACGTCGCGCGTTTGCGTTCACGTTTGGTGACATATGCCCCTGCAGAGATCTAGCCCGGAACCTCAAGCAGGCCCCCCTAAGCCCTATAAATCCTAGCTTGTACCCCCCCACTTATAACTCTAAACCCTTAACTCTAAACCCTAAACTCTAAACCCTAAACCCTAAACCCTAAACAAGCAAGGGGCAGTTTGTCTTCGAGGGCGAGATGGCGGCCATCATGGTGGTCAGCGCGTTCCCTCCCAGGGACTCCTGTGTGAGGGTTTAGGGTTTAGGGTTTAGGGTTTAGGGTTTAGGGTTTAGGGTTTAGGGTTTAGGGTTTAGGGTTTAGGGTTTAGGGTTTGGGGCTTAGGGCTTAGGGCTTAGGGCTTAGAACTTAGGGTTCAGGCTTCAGGGTTTAAGGTTTCGGGTTTTGGGGGCTCATGCTGCTCAAACAGCTGCTTTAAGAGAAGCCCTACGTACCTTAAACACTGCACCATAAACCGTACTCCCTTCTTCTTGGTAGCCTGGTAACCAAGTTATACTCAGCGCACCCTTCTTGGGGTTGGTTACTTCATAACGGAACCCAGAACCAAAAGCAAGGGTAAAGGTACTTCATAACGGAACCCAGAACCAAAAGCAAGGGTAAAGGTACCTTTGGGCTACCAAGCTTTGTTAGTGTAAAGGGCTGGCAAGCGCACCCAGTCCTGCGAACAAAAACAGCAGAGAATGGGTACCATTGGGGGGGTCCACGGCCATTCTAGCTTCGCGATGAGTTTAGTATATGGTTTGGGTTCAGCTTGTACCCGAAATGCTGACTTGAAGCCCTCGGCCCTAATCTGGAGAAGGCTAAACTCTTGGAGTCTCGGGTGCAGAAGTCGCCTGCCACCCCAACCCTTACAATTAAGCTTCTGGTTTTAGGGCTTAGGGTTCAGGGTTTCAGAGTTTAGGGCTTAAGGGTTTAGGTGTCTTTGCGAGGGCGGCGCACTCCACCCGAGATGTAGGTCACTTTGGGACCCCTCGGCCTTGCCAAACCTAAATCCGAAACCCTGGGGCATACCCACCCGTGAACATCGGAAGTTGTCCTAACCCTAAACCCTAAACCCTAAAACCTAAACCCGAAACCCTGAACCCAAAACCGGTGGAACTGCCATTTCTTCGATGTGGGAGTCCCAACGTGCCGAAAAGGCATCCTGAAAACACCCCCAAAGCCCTTAAAACCCGAAACCCTTGCTTTAGGGTGTAGGGTCAGGGTTCAGGGTTCAGGGTTCAGGGTACAGGGTACAGGGTTCACGGTTCAGGGTGCAGGGTTCAGGGTTTAGTGATGATCCCAAACCTTTGAAACCCACCCAAACCCCTTCTCCTGCAGGACGCGGGTCAGCTTTGAGTTTCCTTGCGGAATGCGCCGGGGTGCCGCTGGTGCTTTCGTTCGGGGTCTGGGGGAGGGGGGGGGGAGGGAGGTTTAGGGTTTGGGGTTTGGGGTTTAGGGTTTGGGGTTTAGGGTTGAGGGTTTGGGGTTTGGGGTTTAGGGTTTGGGGTTTAGGGTTTAGGGTTTAGAGTTTAGGGTTTAGGGTTTAGGGTTTAGGCTCTAGGGTGTGGGGCTTGCGAGAGTGGGCCGGGCTTGGGGGGTGCGCCCCAATCCTAAACCAAAAGCCCGCAAGGGAATACAGGCCTGGGCCCTAGTAGCCCTAAACCCTCCGAAAACAGGGGAATAACGGCCGACTCTGGGTCCTAGTTCTACTCTCATTCGGGCTTTAGTTGTCGTGGGTGACCTGAGGGGTGCAGCGCGCTGGGCTCCAACTACAAAGCCCGAATCCCTAAACCCTAAAACCTTAAGCCCTAAACCTTATATCCTAAACCCTAAACCTTAAAAACCCTAAGCCCTAAACCCTAAAACCTTAACCCCAAACCTCCCCAATCCCCAACCCCTTTGACGACATGTCAGCCAAGGCTGCGTCAGACGTGGTCCCAAAGAGACCCGAGGTTGGCTTCAGTAGTCTCTGGGGCTTAGAATTTCGGGTGTAGGGTTTAGGGTTTAGGGTTTGGGGTTTGGGGTTTAGGGTTCAGGGTCTGAAGGTTGAGGTTCATGGTTTGGGGTCGTAGCTTCCTTGTATAAATAAGCACCTAAGGTCCTCGAGCTCAGAGGCTCTAGGACCCTAAACTCTAGCTGACAAGTCAACCTTTCTTAGGGTAGCTGCACGGTCCCTTAGTATGGGCCCTTAAATAGGGAGGGACCCCTTCTACACCTCGTATATACGCTATACAACCCAAGGGCCCATACATCACTACTCTTTGTTTCAGAACCCCAAAGAATAAAAAAAAAGAAGTAATCCCTAAGTTGCCCTTAACAAGGCAGAATATTTTATTTTTTTCGGGGTCCTTAAGCAAATAGTAGGTCAGAATCCTTCAAAGAGGGTAAGGGACCATGTTAAGGGACCATGAAACCCTAAACCCTAAACCCTAAACCCTAAACCCTGAACCCTGAACCCTGAACCCGAAACCCTAAACCCTTTTTTAGAAGGGGACCATGAACCTACCCTCAGATCGCCGTCAAGCCGCGGTAGGGTATGAAGACCTTCTTGCCGCCGCCTGCCATTGAACTTAAGGTGTTGATGACCTCGGCTGAGCCCATGAAGGGTTTAGGGTTGAGGGTTTAGGGTTTAGGGTTCAGGGTTTAGGGTTTGGGGTTTAGGGTTTAGGGCTTTAGGGCTTTAGGGATTCTAGTGACCTTCCGCGGGGAGTTCCGCTCAGCTTCACTGTGTAGAACCCTAAACCCTAAACCCCAAACCCCAAACCCTTAACCCTGAACCCCAAATCCTTAACCCTAAACCCCAAACCTTGACCCTAAACCGGTGACACACTTTGGCTCTGGAAGCCTTCGACAGCCCATGGCCTGCGCACTGACCCAGACCCCTGGGAGGATCAAAAAAGTAGAGCCCCCAAATAGTACCCTTTAGGGTTTAGGGTTTATTGTTTAGGGTTTAGGGATTAGGGTACCCCTCTACTTCTACTGGGTCATTCTTAGGAACCCTTCAACGGGATCTACTTCGTCTATCCGCCCCAAGGGGTCTGGGGACACGTCCATGAGCAAGACCCGATCTTAGCCCGTGTACCCCTTGTAGAGTCTTTCTACAGCCCTGGGGGGGTGCCTTGTGTTGAACCCTAAACCCTGAACCCGAAACCCGGTATCGCTGTCTTTCTTCGAGGCAACAGGTGGTGTTTGCTTGCAGAGATCCAGAAGTATCCATGTCAGCGGTCTTCTCCTGTACAAGTGCCGCCAAAGACCTGGCTCACGGTAGCATGCTGTACAGACTCAACCCTAAACCCTCAACCCTGAACCCTAAACCCTAAACCCTAAACCCTAAACCCTAACCCTAAACCCTAAACCCTAAACCCTAACCCTTTGTCCATCTCCCATGAGGGAGCAATGTCCAAATCTCAAGACCATGCTCGATCGATCCTCCCTATGCAGGTCGCGAGGAGATCGGCCATAAGGAAATGGGGCGTTTGCGAAAATGGGGGGGACCCTTACAGTAGACCCCAAACTAGTAGGAATTCCCTTGGAATAAGGACCCAAAAAAGGTATCCCCCAATTTCGGAAACCACCAGATATCGAGGGCTTACACGTTGCAGCATGTCTCCAGGACCAAACCTTGGCTGCACTCAGGAGGGTAGCTATAAATTAAACTTTTAGCTGCCTTAATAAGAAGCCCAATAAACCCCAAAAAGGTAAGGATCTAAAGTTCCAGTGAAGTACCACAAAGAAACCACAGGTGGGTTCCTCGCTCCTGGAAGCATCGTGCTGGGCCTCGCTAGCGGAGGGTCGGAACATACTGGTCTATCACCTTGGTGGCTTTTCAGACCCACTGTTCACTATCAGGTCAAAATAAAACAAAGGGCTTCGGGTTCAGGATCTGGGGGAAGTTAAGGGCTTGGGAAACATGGCGGAATCCAAGGTGATTGCCCTAAACCTTAAACTCTAAACCCTAAATCCTAAACCCGAAGCCCTAACCCTCAGCAAAGGGACCAAAGGGACGAGGCGTGTGTCCGAGGACCTGGTGGACGTAGCTGAATCAACTGATGTGTCGCTGTTGCCCCGAAGGTAGCCGGCCCACTTCTCCTGAACAACACAAAGCCCTGAAGTCCTATTCGGTTTAGGGTTTAGGGTTTAGGGTTTCGGGTTTCAGGTTTAGGGTTTAGGGTTTAGGGTCTAGGGTTTAGGGATTAGGGTTCCCGGTTTCGGGCTCATAGTTACATGGTCCTTTAGTATGGGCCCTTAAACGGGGACCCCTTATATACCCCTTAAATACCCTGTACAAATTAAGGGTCCATACATTACAACCCTTTAAAGGAGGCAGGGGACCAGAAGTCCTATGAGTTTCGGGTTTCAAGCGTATTGCAAGAATCTAAGCTGGAGTCCAGCGTGGGAAAACGTCTTGTGCAAATAGCGCATGCTAGTAAGAATATCAGCTGGTCGAACTGTTTGAGACAAAGCCCGCACACACACACTTTCTAACCTACACCCCTATGTCGGGTCCTTGAGTTCCCTGTACTGTATCTCTTCATCATCCTCCTCTTTGAGCTGGTGGTGTGTGGCACGCACGGCTGTACAGCCCATGGCTTTCGTGGGTCGATGGCGCCAAACTCGACAACTCGAACGGCTCCGGGTACGAACAGACGTTGGCTTCGACAGGGTGGATCTGCTCTCTTTCGGAACACAGCGTTCAAGGCATAACTCTGAGCCCTAAATGCCCTAAACCGTTTGGGGATTCAGAGATGATCAGAGTGCGTGTCTGTGTACACTCTGCAGCCGCCGGCACAGCAACTGGCACGCACGGTGCAACCCAGGTTCAGAGTTCAGGGTTTTGGTTTTAATGCAATGAGCTGTTTTGCTTAGGGCGTCAAAGGGTTTGGGGTGCAGGTAGGGTTTTCGGAATCTCCCGAGAGCTGTCAAAGGCTTCAGGTCTTATCGGCGACAGCTCATGGCCCCGCTGGCAATGCCCCATGCCTTTCGTGCCGACGCACCGGTCATGCTCAATGATTCAATGAGAAGAACCACAACCAAGCCCCGCTTCTTCAAAAGAACAGCTCTCCAACTGGCCGCTAGCTGACACCTTTCCCTGCCCCACGCCACCCAACCGCTCAAAAAGCTCAGGCATGAAGCCATCCTGACTCAGCCTATGTTTTAACTTCGAATGCAGAGATTCTTCATTTCACCGGCTTTCTTCTGTACAGGTGCCGCAAAACTGGTGCACATGCAAGCTGTATGTACACTTGCCAATCTCCCATAAGGGAGCAATGTCAAAATCTCAATCAAATGCTCAAGCGACGATCCGGCGTCCTGATGCCAATGAAGGTTCTCAACATTCAGCGGGTCAATCTCCCATAAGGGAGCAATGCCAAAATCTCAATCAAATGCTCACGCGACGATCCTGCGTCCTGATGCCAATGAAGGTTCTCAACATTCAGCGGGTCGCCAGGAGATCGGCCATAATTAAGGGTTCAGAGAGTGTGTACACGTTGCGGATCGTCCCTCGGACGAGATCCAAACATGCTTGGCCTCGCTAGCAGAGGGCCGGAACATACTGGTCTATCACCTTGGTGGCTTTTCAGACCCGCTGTTCACTATCAGGTCACCACGAAACAACGGGCTTCGGGTTCAGGATTTGGGGTTTGCGGCTTGGCGGACCGTTCAAAAAACCCTAACTTTCAGCAAAGGACCAGCCCGTGTGTATACGAGGACCTGGTGGACGTGGATCCAACAGATGTGTCGCCGCTGCCCCGAAGGTACCAGGACCCCTTCTCCTGGACAACCGCAAAACCCTACGCCTAATCCCCGAAAACCTATGAGTTTCGGGTTTCGGGCGTAGCGCAAGCCTCTAAACCGGAGTCCAGTGTGGGAATACTATGTCTTGTGCAAGCGACGTAGGCCGGCAAGAATTTAAGCTGGCCGAACCTTTTGACTCAAAGCCCACACAAACTTTCAAACTTACATCCCCCCGTCGGGTCCTTCAGTCCCTTGTAATGCGTGTACTGCGGGCAGCTATCTTCATCACCCTCCTCCTCCTTGAGCTGGGGGTGTGCGGCACGCACGGCTGTACAGCCCATAGCTTTCGTGGGTCGATGGCGCCAAACTCGACAGCTCGAACGGCTCCGGGCACGAACATCATGCTGGTTTCGACAGGGCGGATCTGCGCTCTTTCGGAACACAGCGTTCAAGTCAAAACTCTGAGCCCTAAATGCCCTAAACCGTTTGGGGATTCAGAGATGATGAGAGTGCGTGTCTGTGTACACTCTGCAGCCGCCGGCACAGCAACTGGTACGCACCGGGCAACCCAGGTTGAGAGTTCAGGGTTTTGGGTTTTAATGCAATGAGCTGTTTTGCTTAGGGCGTCAAAGGGTTTGGGGTGCAGGTAGGGTTTTCGGAATCTCCCGAGAGCTGTCAAAGGCTTCAGGTCTTATCGGCGACAGCCCATGGCCCCGCTGGCACTGCCCCATGCCTTTCGTGCCGACGCACCGGTCATGTTCCATGAAAAAACCACAACCCAGCCCCGCTTCTTCTAGAGAACAGCCGTCCAACTGGCCACCAAAGCGCTCAAAAACGCTCAGGCATGAAACCATCCCTGACTCAGCCCATGTTTTAACTTCAGATGCAGAAATTCATCTTCATTTCACCGGCCTTCTCCTGTACAGGTGCCGCAAAACTGGTGCACATGCAAGCTGTACACACTCTTGTCCATCTCCCATAAGGGAGAAATGTCAAAATCTCAATCAAATGCTCAGCCGATCCTCAATCCTCGTCCCAATGCAGGTTCACAACATTCAGCGGGTGCGGATATCGGCCATAAGGGTTCAGAGAGCGCTTACACGTTGCAGATCGTCCCTCGGACGAAATCCAAACATGCTTGGCCTCGCTAGCAGAGGGCCGGAACATACTGGTCTATCACCTTGGTGGCTTTTCAGACCCACTGTTCACTATCAGGTCAAAATGAAACAAAGGGCTTCGGGTTCAGGATTTGGGGTTTGCGGCTTGGCGGACCGTTCAAAAAACCCTAACTTTCAGCAAAGGACCAGCCCGTGTGTATACGAGGACCTGGTGGACGTGGATCCAACAGATGTGTCGCTGCTGCCCCGAAGGTACCAGGACCCCTTCTCCTGGACAACCGCAAAACCCTACGCCTAATCCCCGAAAACCTATGAGTTTCGGGTTTCGGGCGTAGCGCAAGCCTCTAAACCGGAGTCCAGTGTGGGAATATTATGTCTTGTGCAAGCGACGTAGGCCGGCAAGAATTTAAGCTGGCCGAACCTTTTGACTCAAAGCCCACACAAACTTTCAAACTTACATTCCCACGTCGGGTCCTTCAGTCCCTTGTAATGCGTGTACTGCGGGCAGCTATCTTCATCACCCTCCTCCTCCTTGAGCTGGGGGTGTTCGGCACGCACGGCTGTACAGCCCATAGCTTTCGTGGGTCGATGGCGCCAAACTCGACAGCTCGAACGGCTCCGGGCACGAACATCATGCTGGTTTCGACAGGGCGGATCTGCGCTCTTTCGGAACACAGCGTTCAAGTCAAAACTCTGAGCCCTAAATGCCCTAAACCGTTTGGGGATTCAGAGATGATGAGAGTGCGTGTCTGTGTACACTCTGCAGCCGCCGGCACAGCAACTGGCACGCACGGTGCAACCCAGGTTGAGAGTTCAGGGTTTTGGGTTTTAATGCAATGAGCTGTTTTGCTTAGGGCGTCAAAGAGATTCTCGGAATCTCCCGAGAGCTGTCAAACGCTTCAGGTCTCACCGGCGACAGCCCATGGCCCCGCTGGCACCCATGCCTTTCGTGCCGACGCACCGGTCATGTTCCATGAAAAAACCACAACCCAGCCCCGCTTCTTCAAGAGAACAGCCGTCCAACTGGCCACCCAAGCGCTCAAAAACGCTCAGGCATGAGACCATCCCTGACTCACCCTATGTTTTAACTTCAGATGCAGAGATTCATCTTCATTTCACCAGCCTTCTCCTGTACAGGTGCCGCAAAACTGGTGCACAGGCAAGCTGTACACACTCTTGTCCATCTCCCATAAGGGAGAAATGTCAAAATCTCAATCAAATGCTCAGCCGATCCTCAATCCTCGTCCCGATGCAGGTTCACAACATTCAGCGGGCGCGGATATCGGCCATAAGGGTTCAGAGAGCGCTTACACGTTGCAGATCGTCCCTCGGACGAAATCCAAACATGCTTGGCCTCGCTAGCAAAGGGCCGGAACATGCTGGTCTATCACCTTGGTGGCTTTTCAGACCCACTGTTCACTATCAGGTCAAAATCAAACAAAGGGCTTCGGGTTCAGGATTTGGGGTTTGCGGCTCATAAACCCTTACTTTCAGCAAAGGACCAGACCGCGTGTATCCGAGGCCCT